ATAAAAGGTATAGGGGGAGGATTTGAATTCATGATATTTTAATGATTCGATAATTAAAAGAATAGTAATTTATATCAATTATTTTTTATTCAATATGTAAGCTGATGTAAACCTAAAAATTTCAGAGGTCAAATTTGTAATTATGTTCTAACAATTTATTATAAATCACGTCTTCTACTATACCTTTAATCATTGCAAAAATTTTAGCTATGTTACAAATTTCATTAAAGATTTAGTTGCGAAATTGCAGAGGATAATTACTTATTTTTCATTTGAATAAATAACACGTCGAGAGTGGACTTAATTTCGTCTTACTTTTTTTAGATTTTAAAATTTTTGAATTTAAAGTCTTTAATTTCTAAGAAATACAATATGCTGGTCAAATTTGTTTGATTTCATGTTTTTTAAGGTTGAAATGTTGCATAAAGTATGTTATTTATATTTAAATCTCATCATATATTATGTACATTATATATTATTGTTTTGAATATACTTTTTATATTTGAAATAATATAGGCCGATTCTTGACTTATAATTTGTTTATTTCAAATATTTAAATGAAATATATAAGATTTTAATTGAGTGGATAATTATCTTTTATATTTATAGTATGAATCAGATTTGGCTGTATTTTTTTTAGATATTTAAAATTTGAATTGAGTTGATAAGTATTTTTTTTTTATGTTTTTAGTAGGATTTTGATTTGGGTAGATTTGTTTTGTAAATACACAAAATTTGAATTTAGTTAATAATTATCTTTCTTAGGGTAGCTAAAGGTTCTACTTCAGCCTATTTAGTGAAGTAATCAATGGCAACAATGGCGAAGTGCACCTGGCCTTTACTAGTAGGTAATGGTCCAATAAGGTCAATTCTCCATTAAGTAAATGGCCACGGGTTAGAGATTGGCGTCAAATTTTCTGGTGGCTGTCTTATCAAATCAGCATATCTTTGACACCTGTCACACTTTCGTATGAAAGTTTTCCCGTCTCTGTTATACTCGGTCAATAATACCCTTGTCGGATGATTTTTGACATTAGAGTTCGAGCTTCGATGTGATCTCCACAAATTCCTTCATGTATTTCTCTGATCACATAATCTGCTTCATCTGGCGTAAGGCATTTAAGCAGTAGTAATGAGTATCCACGTTTATTTAACGTTTCTCCCTGTAGAAGGTAATGAACGGCTTGACGTCGCAATTTTGTAAATTCGTTTTGATCATCCGGTTGAATCCCTTTATGGAATTCAACGATTGGATCTAACCAACAACAAGGTCGTGTTTCAACCGAACAATGTTCTTCCTGGTCAATAGACGGCGAGTTCAACACTTCAACTGGTACAGTGCGGGCCAGATCTGTCTCGAATGTCGCGGCCAACTTTGCCAGAGCATCCGCGTTGGAATTTTCCGACCTCAGGACTTGGCAAATTATAAAGTCTTTGAACTGAGCCAAATTTTCTTTTGCTTTTCTTAAATATTTTGCCATCTTTTCGTCCCTTGCTTAGAATTCGTCCATAATTTTGATTGACTATAAGCTGAGAATCACTTAGAATTAATAAAAAATCTGCATCCATACTCTGGGCTAAGTGGAGGCTGACCAATAGTGCCTCGTACAGCTTCATTGTTCGACGTTCTAAAATTGAATCGCAGCACAAATTCAAAATGTGTTCCTTCTGGTGACTCAAGGAGAATTCCAGCTCCGCACCCTTTCTCGTTAGAGGACCCATCAACGTAGAGTGTCCACTGTTGCTTTGGTTCCTTCATTAGATGAGTTGGTGTTATTTTAGCCACAAAATCAACTACAGCTTGTCCCTTTAGAGATACATGCGGTTCAAAACTTATATCATATTCACTTAATTCCAGAGCCCACTTCATCAATCTTCCTGACGTCTCCGGTTTTTGAAAAACCTGACGTAAAGGGAAATTAGTTAGGACAACAACCTTATGCGCTTGGAAATAAGGTCGCAACCATCAGGCCGAATTGACTAGAGCCAATGCTAATTTTTCGACATTAGGATATCTAGTTTCTGCGCTTGTCATTGATTTACTCGTATAGTACACGGGGCTCTGTACTCCTCCATTATTTCTTATCAAGACCGAACTGATCGCGGTATCTGAAACTGCTAGGTATAGATATAAATAGTCACCATGTTTAGGCTTGGACAATAAAGGTGTTGAACTCAAGTATTCTTTTGGCTTGATAAAAGCTTGCTCACACTCATCCGTCCATTCAAACTTCCCCTTTGTTCGCAGGATTTTAAAGAATGGCAGACATTTATCTGTTCAAACATTGGAATTGCTTCAGGTTTTCTGGAGACTCCATCTTTAGAACAACCTTTATTTTATCCAGGTTAGCTTCTATTCCTCTACGATTAACCATAAATCCCAGGAATTTTCCTAATAAAACTCTGAACACACATTTGGTTGGGTTTAATTTCATTTGGTAATGTTTCAGTACCCCAAAGGCTTCGGTCAGATCAACCATATGCTCCTCAGCAGTCAGGCTTCTGACTAACATGTCGTCAACATAAAGCTCCATATTACGGCCTATCTGCTTAGTAAACATCATGTTTACCAACCGCTGATATGTGGCCCCTGCATTCTTAAGACCAAAAGGTATCACTTTATAACAGTAAAGACCTTGGTCTGTGACAAAGGCTGTATGCTCCTGCTCGGGTACATACATCTTTATTTGATTGTAACCTGAATAAGCATCCATGAAGGTTAGTAACTCATGACCTGCCGTCGCATCAACGAGTCGGTCGATCCGGGAAGGGGGAAGCTATCTTTTGGATATACTTTATTTAAATTTGTAAAGTCGACGCACATTCTCCATTTTCCGTTTGCCTTTTTTACCATTACAACATTGGAGAGCAACCCGGGGTAGTAAACTTCTTTAATAAATTTAGCTTTGAGAAGCTTATTTACCTCCTCAGATATTACAGTGCTACGAGTAACGTCGACAGGCCGACGCTTTTGTTTAACAGGCTTATAGTTCGGATTTATGTTCAGCCTATGAACTATCACATTGGGATCTATTCATGGCATGTCCTCGTGAGACCATGTGAATACATCAGCATTTATTTGTAAAAAATTAACGAGTTCCTCCCGGATTGGGGCTTTCAGCCCTAGTCCAATGTTGACAAACTTCTCATTAGCTCCAAGCTTAATCTGCTCGAGTTCTTGCTTCGATGTTCTCCATCCGAGTTCGTTGCTGGGCTCATCGTCTGAAGCCATCCCAGAGGATGTAGCTCCATTAATCACTGCACAAGTTCGGGTACCCTTCAGTGTTGTGGCATAGCATTCTCTCGAAGCTTTCTGCTCGCCTTTGATAATACCTACGCCATTGGGGATAGAGTATTTCATCATTTGGTGGTAAGTAGAGGGTACAACCTGCAATTCATGTATATATGGTCACCCTAGTATCATGTTGTATGCCGACGCGCCACCTACAACGACGAACTCGGTTACCTTCCGAACTTTGTTATTGTTTTTCTCCAATGATAACTGGTAGGTCAGTACAACCTTCTGCTATAACTGTTTCCCCAAAAAACCAACCAGGGGTGTAGGGCATCGTTTCAATTGCGACTTCTCCCATCCTAGAGCAAGATAAGTTGAAAGAGAGAGTATGTTGATGGAGGCCCCTCCATCAACAAGTACTCGCCGGACCTGCACGTTATTAATTATGGGTGAGATTACTAAGGCGTCATTATGTGGTAAATGAACTCCTTCTAGGTCGGTTGCAAAAAAACAAATTGCCACTGTTGACTTAACATATGAAGTGGGACTTCGTGAGTAGTTTCTCGAATGAGGGCTTTCCTCTTATTGCCTGAATGCCCTCCACTCGGACCACCAAAAATGGTATTAATTACCACGGGCTTTTTTCCGTCTACTCCTCTTCTCTTAGGTGAGGGAGACTTGTCTTGATCATCACGATCTGATCGGTCAAATTTTCTTTTAGCCCGGGAAGAACAGGAATCCTTCTTCCCTACATATTTTTTCAGATGTCCCTACCTAATCGATTTTCAATCTGATCTCTCAAGTCGTAATACTCTGAAGTATCATGTCCATAGTCTCTATGAAACCTGCAGTATTTATTCTTACTTCACTTTTTCGGACTCGACTTCATCTTACTCGGTTTTTCCAGTATTGTATTCAAGTTGCTATTCTCAATGTTGGCAAGGATTTTCGATAATGGGACGTTGAGTGGGATGTAGCAATCGAACTCCCTTAAACGGCGATCATGAACTTGCACTGTTCGTTCTTGTCGCGATCGGTTATCGTGGGTAGACTTTCTTGACTCATGATCGCAGCTCATGTGACCTTTTTTCGGCTGTGAGCTCTGTCCTCGAGCTTGTGCATGCCTAGATATTATTGTCTGATGTTAGAGATGTTTTGCCCGAAGCACATCCTCAGCGTGCATATACTGACGTGCTCGCTGAATTGCCTCGCTGTATGTCCCAGCTGGTTGAATAGCAAAAGAATGAACCAAGTCGGGATTATTTATAGCCGATGTTAAAGTCATTCTGGCTGCATCATCTGAGCAGTCGAGGACCTTTATCTTCTGTCATAAACCTCCAAACGAAATCACGCAGCGATTCATCCTCTTATTGATAAATTGTAAGGAGATGGGTGTCAGGCGTTTTCTTGTCGTGTTGCATAGAGAACTAACTTATGAAGATCTTTCTCAATTGCTTCCAAGACCCAATGGTCTTGGATTTCAATTGTCTATACCATGACCGAGCTTGGCCCTTCAAAGTGACAGAGAAAGCCCTGCACTTCATTTTGTCCCCGACTGCAGTCAATTCCATCAACCCTCGTACAGTTCGATGTGGTCAATCGGATCAATTGACCCATCTTATGGCTTCATGTCCGGTTTCTTCATCTTTGGTGGAAGTGGATATGCCATTATGGGGGCTGTGAAAGGGGGATCCTCTTGTTTGCCTAGCTCCACCCAATTGGCATCATCCATCTTGCAACTTTGTTTCAAAGCCTCAAAATCATTCTAAAGCTTGATGATGACTTCCTTCATGGAATCTTGTACTTCCGGCACATCCACCGTGGTTGGATATGTCGATGTAGTTGCAGCTGCTTCGGCATGTGGCTGTTGAACTGTGTTCGAATTGACTCCTCGAGTCATTGGGGTAGATCCCAAGTTTAGAGTGACTGGGGTTTGTTGCCCAGCTTGTTGTGACACGTTGCGTTCTTCTAGCATCTGACGAAGATCTGGGGCTTCTGTCGTTATATGCACTCGAAGACCTTCTCTTGGATCGATGGTAGCAGTTTGTCTCGCTCTCAAATTGAGGAGCTCGCGAACTGGCACCTGTGGTGGAACATCTTCCTCCTCTGATATCGTTGGAGCCTTTCCGTGGGCTGGATCCCTTGGAACGAGAGATTCAGCAGTATGTTCATGTACGTCAGCCTCTCGGATCCTGATAGATGGTCCTGGTGCATGTACGTCTCCGGCCTATAACCCTCTATTACTTTTATTAAAATTTGTAATATATTAAAATTTGTAATTACTTTTATAATTAATCCCCTTGGTTTGTCAAACCTATAACCCTCTATTATACCTCTAATCATTGAAAACAATTTAATTAACTCAAATTTATCTTTTTAAGCACAATAAATAGAGATGGGGATTAGAATTCACAACGTTTTGATGAGAGACAAGTGACAACTATCACTGAGCTAAACTAATGTTGGTAATTAACTCATATTTAGTTGCTAAAATTTATACCTATACTTTCTATTTGAATAAATGACGGGCTGAGGGTGGGGCTGGTTTCGTCCAAAGCAGAAAATTGCTTAGTTTTTTTTCTTTTTTTTTTTCCTATAAAGAAAGTGGTTTAGTTTTGAGTTCATACGATTTTTTATATATTATATAAAATATATGACATGTCCTCTACAGGAAACTTTTTTTTTATGGATTTTTTTTAGTACATTTTATGGAAATATTTAAACCTTAAAGATCCTTCCACATCTCTTTGCTCTCTTGGGAAGAATATGTTGACGTGTCTTAAGCCTCCAATGGAGCCAATTTACAACATAGTTCTAAATATCCGTCCACATTGATATTTCCATATTTTCATAGGTTCGATATAGACATGAGAAGTAAATTGACATTTCTATCCTAGTAAAAAAAATGACAAAATATGAAAAATATTAACAAAATGTCCTTAATATATACATAATATTAATATTAATTAATTTTAACTTATTTATAAATATGAAAATGTTTATTTGTTAATTTAAATATTTTTTACGATTTTTTAATTCTCTAACCTTTATAGAAATATCCATCGACATCGATATTTTCATGAAATTGAGACATCGAGATGTCGTGACATTTAAAACATTGATTTACAATGAAGGAATAAAGTGCAAATGAAATAATTTAATTTAATTATTTTGTTATTCTATTTTATTATTTTATAGTTTATCTAATTATAATTGATATTTTACCTTTCCGTCATACACGATTGTAAGTTTTTTTCCTTTTTTTTTTTTATTAATTGATCTAAACTGTGGAGAATAAAAATAGTTGTGCCATGCGCATAGAGAACAATGACAGTTCGGAAAAAAGTTTGGAAACGCTCAGGGCCGACCTCATAGTTAAAAGGTCTCACACAACTTCAATCTTGTGCACTCCACAAGCTAACTTGTGGTAACAAATTTTTTACAATCACAATCGAAAGTCAGAAGGCTATATTGAACCTTACCATATATAAGACCATAGAGAGTGTCGTCCTAGCATCAGGGACATAATATAAGCTCGATTTTATACCTAAAGTCGAACCCCTCTATACAGGTCATCCTTACTGAGTGAACTCTCAAACTAGACCCAGTACTCAATCTTTGATTATTCCGAGCTAGGTCAAATCCAGTATAATATTTGCAAATTAAAAACATTTATGTAAAGAAGTCTTAAAATTATAGAATAAATATTAAATCCCATCAATAGAATATCTCAAAAATATGAGACTCACAAAAGTTAATTAATCTTGCTGGCGAAAGACACTGCTACGGTAAAGAAAATTTGTCATAGTTTCTTAAAGCAATCAATATCAAAATTTTATATTTTCATTGTACAAATCAATTCTAATAATTCCAAAAATAAATAATGACTACTTAACAAGTCGATATAATTATTCTTGGAGCGTTATCCCATCTACGTTCCTGATCGTGCCTCCATTTCATTTCTTATTCTTTCCATGAAAATTTTCAAGAATTAGTAACTAGAAGAGTATAGGAAACTAAGAGTAATTAATTAAAAAATAAATCTTAAATTTTAAATTTCATATGACAAATTCGGTACAATAAACTCCCTGAAACATAAGCATAATAATATATATCCAATAAATTTTAGATACAAATATTTAGTTTTATGATTATATGTATGCATGTGTATATATATATATATGTATTAATATAAAGGGGTAGGAAACATAATATTCCTTGTCCCCATTGCCACGGAAAAAACTTTCTCCCATCCTAAAAAAAAGTGATACTTTAGTTTTATTTTTTTAATATAAAAGATGTCGGTGAAGATTCATATTCATGATATTTTCATGGGAAATTTAACCCGATAATCAAGAGAATAGTAATTTATAACAATTTTTTTATTCAATATATAAGCCCATGTAAATCTAAAAATTTCAGAGGTTAAATATAATTTTGAAACTTGTTTAAGGGTAGAATTCCATTATAATTTTATTGTAGATCAAATATTTATTTAAATGGTATTTATATAATTTTAAAAAATTTTAATATATGAGATATTAAAAGGACGAAGATTTATTTAAGGGTAGAATTTCATGGATCATTTAGAATAGGTAATTGAATCAATGTTTTTTTTGTCACTATTTTTTTTTTTTGGAAACTACCTTAAAGAAATCAATTTTTTACTGCATATTATATATAAAAGGGTAGGGTAGTAGAGGGTTTTTATGGGTAAAATCAAAAGATGGAAAAAATTACCTGATAACCTCTCACTTTTTTGAAATTTTGTAATTTTTGAATTTGAAGTCTTTAATTTCTAAGATATGCAAAATATGCTGGGTAAATTTGTTTGATTTTATGTTTTTTAAAGTTGAAAGGTTGCATAAAGTAGGTCATTTATATTAAAATCTCATCCTAACTTATGGCTATCATATATTATTGTTTTAAATATAATTCTTATATTTAAAATAATATATGATCATTCTTGATTGATAATTTGTTGATTTCAAATTTTTAAATGGTATAAAATTTGAATTTTCTTTTTTGAAATATATAAAAGTTTAATTGAGTGGATAATTATATTTTATATATCTAGTATGAATCGGATTTGGCTGTATTCTTTTTTTTTTTTAGATATTTAAAATTTGAATTGAGTTGATAATTATTTTTTTATGTTATTAGTAGGATTTTGATTTGGGTAGATTTGTTTTTTTAAATACAAAAAATTTGAATTTTGTTGATAATTATCTTCTTATGAGATTTGGCTAAAATTTTCTATAAATACGACATTTGACTAACCAAAACTCACACTAATTCTCTCAAGAAAATTTTCTTTCACCAATCTTGGATCATTTTTCTTAACAAAGAAATCGTGAAGGTAGTTTTCTTAATTTTGTTTATAAATATATTTATGGTTCTCAATCCAAATTTTCTAAACGGTTTAGAAATCAAAATTGTGCCGAAACTTTTGAATTTTATTTAGAAATAAAGTTTTATGATTGTAATTTTTTCATATATGTGATGCCTGTAGTCTGCAAAAATTATTGTTTAGGCATTAGATTTTATTGGTTTTTAATATAGGAATTAGAAAACTCGCAAGTGTTAGGGTTTTATGCAAATTCTCTTTTTAAAATATGTTGTAATCGAGAGAAAATTTTTGGATATGTCAAAAATATTTTGCTCGATTTCTTTAAATATGCATGTTGATTTTTTTTTTCATATATAAGTGCATATGAAGTATGTCGTTTAGATTAAAATTTCACTATAAATTATGAATATCTGATGTCATGCACTATTATTTTAGATATAATTGTTATATTTAAAATAATAGTTGATACGATTATTGACTTTTTTAAAAAAATGGTTTATTTTGGAACCCTAAAATGGCTAAAATTTTGAATTGGGTTGATGGTTACGTTTTATTATCTAAATAGGATAAGAGAAATTAAGTCTAGGATTTTTAATACAAAATTAAATAGTATAAAATTTTAATAGAGATTAAAAACATTATTTTTAAATATGATTAAACAAATCAAATATAAATAATTTATCTTTCCATATTTCTAATAGGATTAGAATTCTGTTTCAAAAAATTTAGGATAATCTATTATTCATAGTTTGAAAAGGGTTTAAAATTTAATTATAAAATGAAATTATCTTTAAATTAATAAGTTTTAAATACCACTAAAAGCAAGTCCTAAATAGTTAAATGAAGATTAATTAACTTGAATAATAATTTACGATAGGAGAGTTGAGATATTTAAGTTGATTTGGGTTGAGTTTGTCTCAACTATTATCAAATTGTTTGATTTTTATGCTAAATATTGAATGGATTAGTGTTTCTATTATTTGTTTCTGTGTTAAAATTTTATTGGTAGTCTTTTCACTTTTTTAAATATTACTATTTTATGTTTCAGTAAAAATGTCTACCCTTGATTTCAATATTGGTTGGGAGAGATTGACCAAGAATCCAACCAAGTTAGTTTTGTTCAAAGAAACTTTCCCTATCCTGAACAAAATTGTTTGTAATCTCCCTACTCTTCTAAATAAACTCCAAACCATTGAGTCTATGATGAAAAATAAAGGCAAAAATGAGGAGGTAAATGTTGCCAACTCAAGCAAGTTAAAGTACGCAGTTTCGATCTTGAGAACTGAGTCTATAGCTTCAAACTCAGTTTCGATCTTGAAAAATGAGTCTGTAGCTTCAAACTCGGAGACTAAGAATCGGAAGAGGAAAAGTAGGGAGGAGCAAGATACAACAAAAGTTGCTCCAAAAGGAAAGAGAGCAAAGGTAGAAAAAGCTGCAAAAGGAGAGTGTTTTTATTGGAAAGAGAAAAGACATTGGAAAACAAACTGTCCAAAATACCTAGAAGAAAAGAAAAGAAAAATTCAGAGACTAAGAACAGTGAGAAGATTCAAGGTAGGAAAAACATCAACATACCTAGAATAAAAGAAAAGGAAAATTCAGAGACTAAGAATAGTGAGGAGCGTGATACAACTAAAGCTGATCCAAAAGGAAACATAGTCAAGGTAGAAAAAACAGGAAAGTGTTTTCATTGCAACGAAAGACACTAGAAGAGAAACTATGCAAAATACCTAGAAGAGGGTAAACATTGTAAACATGATTTACTGGTACTTGAAATATTGATTAGCGGAGGATGTTAGATCCATCAAAATTATTGCATTTATGAGCCACTAATCATTGTAGGTTCTTCTTTTCAGAAAAATGATTCACATGAACAACTA